ATGGGTTAAATAATGTATACTGCATTGAAACAGATAAGGGAGAGAACTGTTTAAAAGGGATATATGATTAGGTATTATTTTCAGGACAGGAGTCCAGAACAAAGTGGAGTGGACTTGGGGGGAGGGACTGTATAACAATGAAAGAATTTTTCTTTTACTTTTCAAAGAGAAGAGCAAACTGGGGGGCAGGTAGGGCAGGGGAAAAGTGTAACAATGAGTGAATGGAAATCCAAAGTCTCTGTAAACATTCATTAAAATTAATGAATAAAAAAACTTGAAAAATCATAGCCTCAATAAACTGGAAAACACTGAAATATTACAAAGCATCTTCTCACATTACAATGTTATAAAATTAGAAATTATAAGAATATCAAGGGGGAAAAATCAAGTACACGGAAACAGTACGTGCTTTAACACTGCTGGGTAGTAGAAGAAATAAACAATGAAAAAAACCCCCAACAACAAAAAAACAACTTCTCAGCACAGGAATGGAAACAGATTCCAAAATCTTTCAGAGACAGCAAAAACAATGTTTAGAGGTCAATTTATAGCAGTGAACATTTGTTGTTGTTGTTATGTGCCATCTAGTCACCTGTGACTCATAGCAACCTTATGTACAACAGCCCTAAAACCTGCTCTATCTTGTGTCAATCTTATTGTCCCTGACACAGCTACCTCCATTACTCTAGTCATGGAATCAATCCTTCTCATTGAGGGTCTTCCTCACTTGCACTATCCCTCCACCCTCCCAAGCATGATGTTTCTCTCTAAAGACTAGTCCTGCCTTGTACCATGCCCAAAGCATATCAGACGAAACTTCAGAATCCTTGTCTCCAAGGAGCAGCCTGATCTCACTCTCTCTAGGACAAACCTGTTTGTTCTCTTAGCAGTCCATGATATATTCAATACTCCTCTCCAGCACCACAGCTCAAAGGCATCAATTCTTCTATCATCCCTAATCATTGTCCAGCTTTCTGATGCATAATAAGTAATTGCAAAGATCATGGCCTGGATCAGGCACACCTTAGTGTCCAGACTGACATCATTGCTCTTCAGTACTTTGGACGTAGGCAAGAGGATTCAACATCATATAAAAAAATCACTCATTACAATTGAATGGAATGACTGGATGAAAACCAGTATGATTGAAACTTGCCCTCAAATCACAAAGAAATAACAGTGTAAATTAATTAATTTAAGAAGTCGGAGTGGAATCCACTTTCGGAATAGCTTGCCTCTGGACACCCTATGAACCTATAGAGAAAGGATGAAAGTTAGACAAGAGTTCAGGTCTTTTCGTTTATATGACTCGATGGCACTTAACAACAACAACAATTCATTTAAGGTCATTCAACTCAGTAAGGTCTGAATTAGGTTCTGAAATTGGTGGCCTAGTGATAAGGATCCACACTGCGAACCCAAAGCCGCATGGTTCAAATCCTCCTGCTGCTCTGCAGGAGAAAGATGGGCCATCTCCTTCCATGTGATTTATTGCCTCTGAAAACCTGCATGAGGCTCAGTAATAGCTCAGTTTCGAGTCAATGGCACACAACACAACATACAACCACAGCATACACCATCCTACCTTTTTCTCTTCTCTCTTGAATAATTTAATTGAGCTTTTAAAAAATTTTGTAAACAAAACACTTTTAACCCAAAGCAAAATACACATACGATTAAAAAAATAAAACATATAATAGACAAAAATGAATAAAAAGAAACAGCCTACAGCCTTTGTTCCACTTCTAAGAACTAATACTTTTAACTATTTGCTTTATTAGACCTTTCTTTTATTTCTTTTTAAAAATTTTGTTGTGTACTGTCGAATCGGATCCAACTAGCGCAGCGGGAGACTGCCCCTCCTTCTCAAGCGGAGAAGTGTGCCTTCAGGATTGCAGCACAGCCTCTTGCCTCTAGGCCACCAGGGCTCCCTTCATTAGACCTTTCGATGATTATTCTTCATATCATACTGATGCTTGTACAATCTTATATATATTTTTTTAATTTTTATTTTATTAGTTTTGTGTGAGTGTACCGTCAAATCAGATCTGACTGGTCCAGGAGGAGACTGTCCCTCTTTCCCCGGCAGAGCATCTGGTGGATTTGAACCATGCGCCTCTAGGATTGCAGTTGCAGCTCCTTGCCACTAGGCCACCAGAGCTCCCCTACAATCTTATATATTTATGTCACTTTAATCTGTTAAGTTCTATTACATCTATTGATTTTTTTAATCATCACAGGAAAATCAGCTTACCCACAACTCCCAACTCTCCAAACTCCCTTTTCTTTCATTCTCCTAATTTAGTAATATCACTAGACTTCAATCCCCCATCTTCAAACACTGTAACAAACTTCAACCGCTATTCCAAGTATCATAAACATTAATTCTTGATGTTCTATTTTGCATAATAAGCTATGTTATTAATACTTTACTAAGGCTGATTAGCAGCATCCTGATAGATGGGGAAAAGATTGGTAATTAACAGCTTCCGTTTGCTTGGCTCCACAATCAATACTCTTCGTACCAGCAACCGGGAAATCAAAAGATGAATTGCAACGGGAAAATCTGCTGTCAGGCACCAATCCAGAGAACTTAAGAGCAATGATGTCAGTCTGGAGACAAAGGCATGCCTGATTCAGGCTATGGTCTTTGCAATTACTTGCTATGTATCAGAGAGCTGGACAATGACTAGGGGTGACAGAAGGAGAATTGATGGCTTTGAGCTGTGGTGCTGGAGAAGAATACTGAATTTATTATGGACTGCTAGGAGAACAAAAAGGTTTGATTTGAAGAGGGTGAAACCAGGTTGCTCCTTGGAGGCAAGGATTCTGAAGTTTTGTCTGACATGTTTTGGGCATGTTGCAAGGAGGGACCAGTGGAAGAGAGGAAGACCTCGGAAGAGATGGATTGTTGACTCAGTGACTTTGGTGGTGGTGGTGTCAGAGATGATGAGGTTGGCACAGGACAGGGTTGCTGTGAGTCACAAATGACTTGATAGCACTTAACAACAGGAATATTCAGATGATATTCATTCTAAATTACAGTACTTTTAAAATGAGAGCCTCCAAATACTCTGGTATGAACAATCAGATTTTAATTGAATGAGGGAGTCTTTTATCCCTAATATACGACCAAATCCAGGATGGGTCTCTGAATCTTTCATCAAGATTCAGGAAATGAACTTACCACCTTTATCAGAGTGATTGGGCATCATCTCAATACAGCGAGGTTGGGGTATATACATTTAAAAAGAATCAGCTGTTAAACAAGAATTACTCACCTGCTGTTGTCCCTGTAACCGCTGTTGTAGTTGGAGTCGGAGTTGGTTGGGTGCAGCAGGAGGTCTGTTTAGAGTCTGCCTGGGCTGCATGCCCATGCCAGGTGAAAATGTGCCTCTCGGAGGTGTTACCTGAACAGGCACAGTCCCCAATGATGGTTTTTGCCTGATCATGCCTTGGAAAGGGCTCGGGAGATTGGCAGTAGGAGAAGGAGAAGAATAAGGCTGGGAATAAAGGTTGGGTCTCTCATCCATCATCAAAGGTGGCGTTGCTTGTTGTGGTGGGAATCTCTCCGATAATACATCTAATCCACCACCCTGTCAAAAAAGAAGTTGAAACATTTTACAACTAAATTTGTCAGTAAGTGAAATGTTTCTCTATACAACACTGGATAATGTGAAATGTGTTCTCTCTAGAAAGTGTCATCATAACATATTTATGTTGAATTGAGGCTTTCTCAAACTTTCCTGCCTAAAAGAATCACTGACAATTGCTTTTGAAATGGAACAACAGATTAACTGAGATGGTTATGATCTCAACAAAGGATGAAAATACAGTTAAAATAAAGTCCCTACATCAATGTAAGAGAGTATAAAGGTTCAGAAATCATTGTATTGCAAAGCTTATGAATCAGTAACATTACATTAAATAAGTGGCCATGAGAAACAGATTGCTTAAAGAGGAAATTAATCAAGCACTTTTCAATCTCAAATCCATCATCTATGCCTTCATCTTATTTTTAAAGAATCAGAGATGACTTGATAGAATTTCAGTGTTACAGCCATCAAACTTTTTGACCAATTATATTTTAAATTGCAACCTGTTGTACACAAACATGTATACATACATATGACTATGTGTAGGTAAGTTAAAGAAGTTTCATGAAACATAACTTCTTATTATGGCCTATGTATGCTGATACTTTTATTCTATACTTACTAGTACATGAAAGAAAAAGAATTGTAATCCACTAAACTGATGTCATCATCCTAAAGTCTGGTGGGGGGGAACCCAGTGTGAAGCTGGAAAGTCATAAGATAAAGAAGCTGAAGACAAACACAAATGAATGTCAAGGATAAGATAAGTTTTAAAATATATGATAACCTTCACAAGTGGTAAATTACAGTTAAACTCATTGCCATCAAGTCAGAACTGACTCATAGCTGAGTCTACAATAGGGTTTTTAGAAGGTGTAAATTGCACAAGAGGAGAAAGCCTATCTTTCTCCTTCAGAGTGGCTGGTGGACTTGAACCAATAGAAAGCCAACACCTTTGAGTTAGCAGTGAAAAGTTTTACCCATCAGGCCACTATAGCGCCCTATAAAATAGTGGGAAAACCCACTGAAAAACCTTGCTTAAAAATAATTTTCTAGCTTCTCAAGGCTGTACGACATAAAATAAGGCCAACTTTGGAAAGTACCTGAACAAGTTTGTCAATCCCCAGAGCTCTGTCTAGTTCAGCTAGCTCAGTTTCATCTTTGCCACTGAGGAAAGATACCAGCTGTTCCAGGAGAGCCTTCTCATCATTTCTTCCTTCTACTGTTGTCGGAGGACAGAGAAGCTCATCTAACTGTGAACTAATACATTGGCTGGAGGGTCAAAAGATAAGAAAGTTAAAATTTATAATAGCAAATAACTATTCAATCTTAAGATTATGAATATATATATACAGATACATAAATGCAAATTTGTTTCTAGATAATTCGGTTAAGATGTTCTGCAATCAATATTAAGGCAATTAAACATTCTTAATGTACATAAATCAAATGAACATTTGGTGTATTACTTGAATATATTTTTCATTATTTTACCAATCACTGAGCTTTGTTGCTAAATTTTTTATATTGCTTACAGAAATAGCCTGAAAACGTAACTTAACAGATTTAAGAAAAGGAAAATAATTTTTACTAAAAGTAAAAAATAAAAACCAGCCTGAAATTCAGAAAAAATAAACTTAGCCTATCACATATTTATTCTGCTTATTTCATGGATTCTGCTAATTGTTGATTATCCAAACCATAGTTAAAATAGCATACATTACACCATTTAACTGTTAGAGATGATCAAATCATACTGATAAAATTACATGATTATTTATATCTACAAAAGGAAATTAATTCATTAGAAAAATGAATATACTAGGGGTTAGGAACAAACTAATTGTTGACTGAGTACATGTAGGAATATGTATGGTCTAATACAAACCAATACCAACTGCAACAGAAAACTTAGAATTATAGAGAAAATAAAACTAACAATAAAATGAATACAATTATAAAGATGCTTTGTAAAGGAGAGAAATGGGAACACAGCTCACAGCTGAGGTCGATCTGTTGCTGCTTGTTGAAGGTGCACTCTGTGCTATGGAATAGCTGTCTGTATAGATTAATAAATTAAGATTCAAACTGAGATGAGGTATGGAGAAGACAAAGTAAGTACCTTCCTTCCTCCTACCCTCTTTTGCAAACAAAGATAAAAGCAGAATGAATAATCAAACAACTGAAAGCAAAAGAGCAGTAAATGTGCTATATTAAGGCAAACTCATCCTCAGATCTGAGGGCACTCAATCAAAGCAAAGCAAGATATGAAATATAAAACACAGTTGCATAATATATCAATTACTTAATGATGACAATGCACACTAGTTTTATGGTCATGCAATAAATACATCTATTGAATATTCCTTCTACATCTATTACATCTATTATCATCTTACAAAATACTAATATAGACTGGAATTCAGTTCTGGAAGAGTAGCTCTGTTTCAAAAGCTGATATGTGATACCTTATACAAAAAAATTACTCACTCTTCTGGTTTATTCTGGTTTACAGCGGCAACTGTATTATTTGTCCATGGAATCTGATCACCTGTTCCTGGTTGCCCAAACTGGTTATCAATAGCTTCCAATTCCAGTTCAGGCAATCCTAATTGAAGAAAATGTAAGAAGTCAGTATCACAATGGAGATAAGAGAATAATACTCCAGAAGTACTATATTGCAATGTAGAATGAGATCTCACACATAAAATATTACCTCAGTGACACAAAGGTCACTTACTCAAAAACTTAAATGGTCCAGCACATGACTATATGGCAAAAGGTAAAAAAGTAGGTGAGAAAAAGCTCTGAATGGAAGAACATCTGATGTTAAAAGTTTGCAAAATGGTCACTGTTACCATAGGAGACTCATACAAGGCTTTATCAGAAAGAATTTAAATCACAAACATTTTTGTTAACAGCTTTCTCAGTTAACAGTCTGTAACATGTTAGAGAAGCTAGAAGTAGGGACAGTGCTACCACTATGATATGACAGATGCAAACAAAAAATAATGTAACAAGGCAAGAAAAGATATGAAAAGAATATTATAGTCTGGCATCATTTGACAAATGGGCAAAGTTCTAGAGTCACTAATCTAAGAACAGAAACATAAAATAACTGTATAACAGCTGATGCTTATAAGATGACAATTAAAAAAAGAAAAGTTTGAATTATATTTTCTATTTAAGAAAATAGTATATGCATTTTAGAAATTTTTTTGGTAAAATTTCTTTAAACTTTATGATTATTTCTACTATTTATTCTAAAAGATGGAAATAACCTAAATGCCAGATATGCAGGAGTTGATTAATGATTTATGGTATTGATATTTATAATGGGCTGCTAAATTTTTAAAAGGCTTGTTCCAATATACCACATTCAGAATGATTCCATTTTAAAAAGACAATTACATATACATTAACAGAAAAGATCCTGTAGACTATAGTCTTGGTTGATTTTGACTTATGAGATTAAAAATTAGTTTTTAAAAATGCTTATTTGTCATCTCTAAATGAGCACATGTTAACCGACCACAAGAAGAAAAAATATTTAGAAAGATTTTATTTTTAACTGAAAACTTCTTTTGGTCAGAGTCCTCACTGTAATCAATGAAGATGGAGATTTAAGCAAAACAAAACAAACCTGAGTCTACTAAGTATTATTTGTTTGAAAGAAAGTGGTTTTTATTCTAGAATTTATTTCAATCTTCAGAAACTTCCTTTGGAAATTATCTTTTATAAAAAATATTCCAGGAATTTATGGAATCTTTTGGTAATACACAAATTATCCTTTTTTTTTTCCTTCAGGAAATATACCTATCACTTTGGGTCCCTATCACAAACTTGAGCAAATAAGTATATTTGTAAGTAATACAAGAAAGGCATAAAACATTTGAAATTAATACATGCATTAGCCCTGTGCTGGAGAGATAGATGAAGTGGGGACAGAAAACAAGCCTTAGAGATCCTTGATCAAACTATTCATATTTTTTTAATCATTTTTGCAAAGGGCTTAACATCCTACTTTCTTTATTTTAAAAAGCCCCACTAGTCACACTGAAGCTAGCAAAACTCTATTATTGAGAAATGATTTAAAAAAAAATTCTAAAGTAGACAGCATTGTCTTAACCATGAGGATGAGTTTGCACACTCTAACAGTGTTATATGTGCTGATTTTTACATTCATGGTTAATTATGTAATGATTTTGATGCTCACAGTCAATTTTCTCCAGTTGCTGGTAAGATTTATTTCAGTTTTGAGTTACATTCAGCAGTGACTGTTCACAAAAGTGTTTTATTTGCAAATATAGGAAGTAGACAAGAGACTAATTTCTATAAATCAATAAGAAAAAAAATACCCTGACAGGTCAGAGAATCTACTCTTGGATCAGAGAATGTGAATAGGTCACACAATATCATTGAAAAAAATAACCAGTTTACAGTAAGAGACATAAATGTTAAAATGACATGAAGGCACTTAAAACCAAAGAATCAGCCAACCAACCAAACAAAAAAGCCCACACCATCCAGTCCAATGTGCTGGTAATTTAGGATGAAGAGACATAGGAACAATACTGGTTAGAGCACAGGGATATATTCTCTAAGATGGGTCAGTTAGTAACCTTTATTCTTTAACATAACAATATTTATAAAAATTATTTTTCAAATACTCTCTCACATATGGTAAATGATCACCAAAACCCAGACTTGTTACAGTTTTACAACAGCAACAGATACCTACCAATAGGCAACTAGTTAAGTAAATTTTTGTAAATTTTTAAAATTAAATACTATGTAGCTATAAAAATTAAGGGCAAAGCTCTTCAGATACTGATATGGAGTATCAATAAAGGAACATTAAGTGAAAACAGCAAGATACAAACTGTTTAATATGGCACTACTGGTAAAAATGAGAAATACTTGCCATGTTTGTGTATTTTTTTTTAAAGCTAAAAAGAAATAACATTGCTTTTAAGGAAGAAAAGCAAATGGCTAGGCATATGGAAACAGGAAGTAAACTTAATTATATATCTTATTTTTAATGTGTTGCAAGACATGATTCTTTTTTAAAAATCTTAATATAAAAACCATACACTAAATGTAATCTCAATGGCAGAAATTAAAACGGATCATTCTAAAAATGTTCTTTGTGAAGCTCCTTATGTGTATAGTTGTATATTATTTTTTATATGTCCACAAATTAATAAAAGTTATACCAAATGTGTATAATCACAGAACATGAAAATAGCCACCTCACTAATTTACTCCAATGATTTTGTCAATGATTCCAATATTTTAGAATTCTAGAACTATCTTTAGCCAGTCTGTAAGTCCACTGACAACATAAGTCTAATCATAGTTACATCTAACCGGAGTTTTGTAAACCAAAACAAAATGGGAGGAGAAAAAAAAAATACACCTCACATTACTGTTTCTGGATAAACAAATTTTCAAATCTCAAATGTACCTCAAAGAATCAGAATTTGAAAAGATATAGGCAAGGTTTTGACGATAATGCTAAAGGAGATATTTTTTATGTTACCAACAAAACTTTCACCTCCTTAAAATGTCCATGCTGAAAACTTTGCATTTATCTGGTGTGTTCTTCAGTACATTTTAAACAAAATCAGCTAAATCACTTGGACATACTACACGGGGTGTGTGTGCTTATAAGCAGTATGTTTTAGAACTGGAGGGGACTGAGATTTAAATCAGTTCTGCACATACTAAGTGGGTCGTATTGAACACGTTTCTGTTTGCATGTATGTGGTTCCTTTCCATGTCCTCTTCTCATCTGTAAATAGAACTAGGGAGATTTTCTGCTTTATTGTTGTAGACAGATCACTTCTATTTTTCCCTATCTTTCAAAATGAATACTGACATGATAGAAGAAATAAAAGAGGAAAACTAAATCTACAGCAGAAGGTAAGGCAAAAGGAGTGCTGTGGCAGCAGATTAGAAAATGCCATTTCTGAAAGATGAAACACAGATGGAAACAAACTGATGGTTTCACACTCCAATTAAAAGCAAGAACCTTTCAGCAGGAAAATGAAATGATTTATTTCTAAAAAGGGGAGCTTTCCCAGAGAACAACTCCAAGCTCAGTGGTCATTTGAGCCGGGTGAAGGACAGGCCGTGGGCAATCAGAGGATAATTAAAGGATGACTGAACAGCTGCCATCAGGCCCAGCTCCGAGTGCAGCTGACGCGGGCACCTACCCGTGGGATTAAAGTGGTGAGGGCATAACTTCAAAGTGGGAGTTCTGCCCAGGGAATCTCCAGAGTGGGTGCGAGGGAGGCCCAGAGGGATTTCCCTACCACTGAGCCTCACTCCGTTACAACAACAACAACTGAGAACAGGGCGTCTGTAATCAGAGCCTTCATTTACTGCCAGGGGAAAAGAGCTTCTAACTTTAGCCAAAGAAATAATCCAGCTACTAACATTTGTACTCTAGGTCTTTCTGGCTGACAGAATCAGGTTTCACCATATGCTGAAGAAAAGTCAACAGCAAGAAAAAAAGTGCAGCAAATTTAACAAGAAAAATACTTCAAAGAAAACAAGATACCTACAGAAAACCAGATAAATACATGAGTAAGTGTAAGAAATATCATCACACAAAGTATATACTGTTAATAAAATGTAAGGAACTCCTACGGAAAAGAATGAATAAACAACAGCCATATTTAAAAGACTACCCTGGATGGACAGAAGAGTCAAATGGACAGGGATGAAGTCAGTTTTGATCTGGAAAACTGAACTCAGATATTCTCCCACATAACCTTCCTGGTGGCCTAGGGGTAAGAAGCTGCGCTGCAATCCCAAAGGCACAAATCCACCAGCTGCTCCACAGGAGAAAGATGGGAAATCTCCTCCTGTGTGATTTTCTGCCTCTGAAAAACCACTGGAGGGTCAGCTATAAGTGGGTTCTTACTCAATGGCACATAACAACAACTCAAAAATAACTGACAGGCAGAATCACAGTTATGAAAGGAAGTGACTCTGGACATAGATGTCTCTACCCTGTCACAGCATTATTGATAAAGATAAATACTGCATTAAGACTATTATTGTAAAAATAGAAGGATTATTAGTAAGATGTACAGAGAGGGAAGGGGGAGGAGGCGGAGGCCTGAAGGTGGAAATGCTGGGACATCTTGATGTCACAGTTATGTAGACAGAGTGAGGGAGCAAAGGAATTAGGAAAGATCTGGGAGGGTCTATAAAGGATGGATAATGGTGGGCATGGATCAATGGTGATTAATTTTGTGAAACACAATGGAATGATACTATGAAACACAACGTGAATAGAGAAATGTGTGAAATAATATATAAATTAAACACAATGTATACAAAACAATATAAAATAAAAAAATAAAAATAATACATTAACTTTTAATGAAACTATAATAAACTATATACAGTCTAGAAAGAAAGGAATAGAAAAAGATCAGGCAAACATTAACCAGAAGAATGTGAGCATAGCAATTTTAATATGAGAGTAAAAAGTTTAAGGCAGGTTGAGGGGTTTCTGATCAGTGAGCGTCTGACAAAAAACCCCTCCAGTTCCACGGACTGCCAACAAATAAGTCTGTCCTGGAAGAACAACCACGGTGCTTCTGAGAAGCGAGGATGGTAAAACCTCATCTTCCATAATTTGGGCATGTTGTCAGGTTGTTGTTGTTATGTGCCGTCGAGTTGTTTCCGACTCATAGCGACCCTATGCACAGCAGCCCTAAACTCTGCTCTATCCTGCGCCAAAAGCACCGCCTCTGACACACCCATCCCGATTACCCCAGTCACCGAATCAATCCATCTCATAGAGGGTCTTTCCCTCCTGCGCTGTCCCTCCACCCTCCCAAGCATGATGTCCCTCTCCAAGGACCCGTCCCTCCTGGCAACATGTCCAAAGTATGTCAGACGAAGCCC